GTTAAGTTACGTGAGCGGTTCTATCCTGCTCATGTCAAGGAGGCCTACCTTTGTGCAGCTGACCTCTACCGGGTACAGCATGTTCAGAAAGGAATCCGGGAGAACCGTAAGAGGAAGCTTGATGGAAGTGTTACACCTGTGGTTAGGAGTTTGATGGCTACTGGTGCTGAATCAACAAGAAGCCTTCAAAGAGACGACTCTAAGAGAGGTAAGACTCCCCAGCCAATCCGGAACAACAAGGCTAAGGGAAGGTGCTCCGTTTGCAAGAACTGTAGAAGTTACCACCCCGGTGTGGACTGTCTTGGGAAACCGGTAGAGGGCTTTGCTTGTGGCAAGAAGGGTCACTGATCCTTTGAGTGCAGGACTGAGAGAAAGACTTTGGCAGACTCAAAACCAGTTGGTAGTGTGGGTGTAACACCCCGAAATTTTGAAACTTTTAAAACTTATATGATAAAGGTAATTTCTCATAAAATCCCAAACAGAGCATTACTAATTATAAGTGTACGGGGTGCTATGCCACATCTGAGCTGGAGAACTCAGATGCACAGGCTAAACTAACTAGATATCCTCAATACATCATTGTGGCACGCAGGCCGAAAGGAAAGACTATATATCTAATCCACGATCTTCTAGTGCGCTCTGGGATCTACTCATCTGTGCTTGAAAGCCAAATATATCTATTTAGCGAGAAATGTCGGTAACCCACTCCAACGCGTTGAAATACATTATAGATAGATATATATAGATATACGAAAAACATTTTGAAGCAGGAAGATATATACTTAAGAGACACTAGTTTTAAAAGCCAGGAATAGACTCAGCAAATAGGGGTAAGCGCATCAAACAATAATAAACAGTTAAGTAGAGATAACATCATAAGGAATACGCATCTAGAGTCACAGAACGCTTTTCAATTCCAAAACACGTCATCATTCAATCACCATTCATATCACATAATCGTTGATGGCGCCACGGGACCAATCACATGCCCCGAACATGAGGGTTAATGCTTATAGCATTAACACGGCACCGTAGCACCCTACCTCAGTACCGTGGTATGAGGGGAGTTGATCGCAACCAACCCTTTGAGAACCGCTGACGAACTCAACGTCGGACCACGATCCGACACACCGCTGACGCGCACAGTCGGTGGACCGCGATCCCCTTTACAAGGGGGGACTTACGACCCTACACACCGTTGATGCGTACAGTCTGTGGATCGTAGCGGATCAAGCCCGGCACACCGCTGAGCTAAACTCAGTCGGTGGGTGAAGATCCTCGGAGACTACGGCCCTACACACCGCTGTCCCATCACTCGGTGGATCGCAGCCAGCCGTAGCCCTACACACCGCCTGATTACTCAGGTTGGTGGACTACAGCCTTCCTCGGCTTGTTGGCCCTACACACCGCCTGGTGCGTCCAGGTCGGTGGGTCATATCACCGAGGCCCATATTTGGACCTGTAGTCCAAGAAGTGAATCAGTTTGGCCTTAGTCACTTCTGAGCCTTTGCTCAGGAACAATCCATTTGGCCTTCAGCCACTTCCGAACCTTTAGTCCGGGAACAATCCATTCGGTCTTCAACCGACTTTCGAACCTTAGTCCGGGAACAATCCATTCGGCCTTCAGCCAACTTCCGAACCTTAGTCCGGGAACCACCCAATTGGCCTATAGCCAAAATGGGGGATCATGCAACACATAACACGTAGGAGCACGTAATAACACATTGGGAAGGGAAAGACATATAAATAAACTTACATGTGATCATTCACATACTAAGAATAGTCCTAAGGGTTCATACAACTTCCACCTAGGTCAACGGGTTACCAATTCAACTAGCATGCAATCCCTAAGACTCATTGAACCTACGAATGGCACCCGAAATATCAAACTAGACTCAAGTACGACAAACGGGGTTCGTTGGGACACCTTGGGGAAGCCAAAGACCCGGGGTGGGGTACGGACCAGCGGGTAGCCGGTGGTTGGAGGGCCACCCGCCGGTTGCCCGCCGGAGAACACTGTTCCGGGCAGCGGGTCGCCGACGGGCAGGCGGCCGCCCGGTGGCTGCCCGCTGCCGGGCGGTGTTCTTCGGGCAGCAGGTAGGTGGCGGGTACCCCTACCCCCCCCCCTGACTCTTTCATCAAAAATTCGTCCCGGGATCCCTTTGTGGAACCCGAAACCATGCTTAGACACTTTTAAACGCAATTAACGACACCACGTAGTCAATTAATAGATCAAAAGCAAGGATCATGTATAACTCATCCTATCACGACTTCTAAACATAAACAACACCCGATCATGCGAATTCCCACCCAATATATATCAAGAACATTACAATACAAATTCCCAATCCATCCTAGGGCTCTAATCCCACCCAAATCATCAAGAGCATATTTTATCTTTAACATCAAGAAATATCAAGATTCGTCAAGAATTATCACATCAATTTCAAGAATTTCTTTTCAATATCGAGATCATCAAGATTATCAAGAATGCACATAAATCATCTTATCAATCATCAAGAACATATCATAATTAACATAGAAGAATTTATCAAGACACAAGAATATAGAGGGAGGTCAAAGAGAGAGATTATAGTGAAGAAAATAGGTTTTGTTGAGACATGGGTTACCTCTTAGCCTTAATTAATTTCCTTGGCTATGAAGGGTCTTTCTTGATTTCTCCTAAGGGAATTCCTGGAACTTCTTGTGTGGTGAGAGATTATTGTGGTGTAAGATCTAGGTGTCTCCTATGATCCTATTTATATATTTAAGAGTCCTAATTAGGGTCTAAGTGGTATGGGTTTGCTAATTCTATTTCCTATAGGACTAGGGGATTGGTTTTAGGGAGAAGGCCCATGACCATGGTGGACCCCTTTTTAGCTAATTAATGGATTTTAATTCCCTTTTTAGGGTGGGTGATAATTTAATTAATTTTAATTTAGGGGTCATAACACTGGGTGTTACACTCTCCCCCCCTTACAAGAGGCTTCGTCCCCGAAGCCGGTGCGGTGATCCATTCCTTCACCCCTGGACGCCGCGTATTTTGGCCTTCCGATTAGGAAGTGTGGCCCCGCGCGTTGTCTCTGCTGGGGTAGACTAGATTTCTGGTGAGGTGGTGATCGGAGAGTTCGGGTCTACCTTGGTTTCCTGCTCCCGAGCTGGATGCCCCTCGAGTGCCCAGGATGGTCTCGATTGCTGCCACCCTCTGATCTAAGGCGCGTGTTGCGTGGATTAGGGTTGAGAACCCTTCATCCATGATTTGGTTTTGTCGGGTGAGTTGTGCGAGGTTGCGCTCGTTGGTGGTTTCTTCATTTTGGCCCCCCGGGTTTCCCCTTGCTTGTGTGGGAGCCGGTGGTTCGGGCTCGCAATCCTCCCCTTGTTCCTCATTCCCCCCTGTTCCTCCACATTCTTGCATTGCCCGTTTAAACTTCTTATTGGAGATATCTAGTTGATCAACCAACTCCCTCCGTTCCTCTTCAGGTTTAAGGCAAACCTCCTCGAGGGTGATGTATTGTCCCCCTTCGATGTAGTAGATATCATTGCGACGGAGATTTTGGGCATTGAAAACCATGCCGTTTGCGGTCTTGACCTCGGTGTGGCTCAGGTCTACCCCCTTTTTCTCCATGATCCAACTTAGGATCATCCCGTAGGGTAGGCTAAGCCGATTGCTAGTCTTGCAAAACTCCATGTGTTTTAACATAAGGGCCGGTAGATTGAACTTGATTTTGTGCTTTAGGAGGTAAGCAAAAGTGCACTCCAAGCTTCCCACGTCCTTGCTCTTGTTATTCGTGGGCAACAGGCTATCAGTTACAATCATGACTAGTATCTTTTGCTCCGCGGTTAGCCATTTCCTGTTTGGCCGAGTAGCCGAGGTGAAACCTTCCTTTCTCCCGAGTAGGTACCCGAGGTAGTCCTTGCACCCCGTGTTTTGGGTACCAATCCACCCCTTCCGGTCGTAGTCTGACACACCCGTGGTGGTCAGTCTTAAGAGCTTGGCCAAGCGGCCTTCGGAAAGTGTGATTTCCTTGCCTCGGACTTTAGCGGTGATTTCCAGTTTATCGCCTCGCTTAACGGCTACCAAATGATGATAGAACTCTTTCACCAATTCGGGGTACGTATCCCCTTTAATGGTGAGATACGTATCCAAAAGCCCTTGGTGGTTGAGCATGTCGACCAATTCCGGAGAGAATTGATCGGGTTCGAGGGCTTTACCTCCAATCACAGTGTAGTCGGCGTCGCTCCATTCCGGGGTGCGGACTCCGAGGGGCTTTTCAGCATTTTTAGAATTTTCTTATAGATAGCGTTTTCCGGCGGACTCCGGCGAGGGTTCCGGCGGTACGGCTTCGTCGGCGACGACGGCTCTCGGCGTGGCCTGGCTTGGTGCGGTGGCGGGGATGTTCAGGGAGGTAGCGGTGGACCACGGTGGAGCTTGGGCGTGCGGTGTGAGCGTGCGGCAGTGGTGGCGTGTGGCAGCGGGGAGGATCCGGGCGGTCGACGGTGGTGTTGCGGCACTACAAGAAAATTGGTCATTAATGGGAGGTAAAACCGTCACTAAAGAATCAAAAACCATCATAAAAGACTTTTAATGACGGGAAATTTACCGTCGTGACCCGTCGTTATACCTTCCGCGGTTAAAAACAATTAATGACGGGATACGATACCGTCATTACTGAGCATATAGTGATAGTATATTTACCGTCACTAAAATGTTCTTTTTGTGACAAAGAATCCCGTCGTTAATACAACTATTCACTAACATAATTTCCTCTCATCTATCCTTTTAATGATGGAAAATCCCGTCATTAATATTGCTATTTACTAGATTTTGTCTGTCACTAAATGTTATATTTTATTGCAAAATATTATTTTTTTTTAATTTTAATTTGTATATATTATTGTTGCTCAATAAATATTAATTTTTGTAATACATTTTTTATCATAAATATTATGATGTAACTATAGATATTGTATTAGTACAATTTATAACATTAACAATAATGCAATCAAAGTAAACTCATTAATATAGTAAAAGACTTTATCATCACTATCAAAATGAAATGTTTCACACAACTTTATAAAGACTAAAAGCAAAAATACTAATTATAGCTAACAAATAGCCATAGTAATGTATCTGTTGGCTATTTTGAAAGGTGAGACTGTACAAATAAACATTTTTAGTTTAGACAAAAACAGCCCCAAAGCAAAAATGTTAGATCTAGCTTTCCATCTGGAGTGCGTATCAAATTCCCAGATGATCGATCAACATGGAAGAAACCTGTATCGAGAAACTGTAGAAAATGAAAAGCAATAAAGATAATGTAAATGATACTAACAAAGATATGTTTCTCAGAGATATGTGACCTTCCTTGAAGTATACTTTCTTCAAAATCTATACAAAAGTGTCCCATTTTCTCCATCATTAATGTAATCAAGCTCTTCAAACGACATTAATATGACTGAGAACAGCAGAACACAATAATTTAATCTAATCCATAGTTTATAATGAAACCATAAAATGAAAAGCAAATATACCTCATCAATCCAGTCCCACCACCGGAAACTCGTCTGAATCCCGTTCCTAATGACATTATACATCAAAGGCTCCTGCCATTCACCTTAAAACCAATAAATATAAATACAAAATTCTCAGGAGTATTTTTCCATCTTATTACTTTTAATAGGTAAACCAAATTGAGGAGAAAAAAAGTGCAGTCACAATCACTACTACAGAACATAGTTACATTAGAGCATTAGACATTTGACATGTTTTCTTGATTATTCAAGGCTTACTGCTGGTTTGGTTGATGAATCATCAGACCTGCTATCATCACCACAAAGCTAGCAGATGTGTATGTATCTACATAGATGTGAGCAGGCAAAAAAAAGTTAGAAGCTTTGTTCAAAAACCAGGAGCGAAAGAAAGAGTGAGATATAGTGAGAGAGATCTAAAGACAAATAATCCAATCAATCCAGCGAGCAAGAAAAAGATATGGTGAATAAATATGGGCAAAGGAGATGGAAATAATGGTAAGTAGAGAGTGTCGTAAATTTCTTGTTTTAACCCCCCAAAATCTTCACCTCATTCTCTCATGTGGCCTCAACCTAACAAACAATTATTAGATGCAGAAGATAAGTGATAGATAAAGAAACTGTATCAAAACAAAGATAAATAAAAACTTAAAAAAAGTTCAAAGCAGTAAATACAATATTCTGTGGTAACAACAGCAATGCAAAAGCTGATTATGGAGCAATTCATATGGAAATCAAAACAGTTAGATTCTACACAAATCAATAAACAGATTTCTCAGCTCAAGAACTAAAACATTCATTAGTTTAAGAAACAAGAAGTGGAAGATACTTGAGAGTAACTTAATAAGAGAATACAAGGAAGCAACAAAATTATGGTAACAGTTAGAGGAACAAAAGAAAATGCCTTAATCCAGATTGACAGAATATATTTGGAACCTAATTAATGAAGAAAAACCATGTCAAAGCAATGTTTCAACTGAGACTGCTAATTTCCATTAAAACAAAAAATCAAGTTAAGGTATAATAGGCTGCTAGATAGAAAGCAGAGGAACGGGGTATAACAACCCTCATAAGGGACAATGGTTAAAGCAAACTTTGGCTTGCATAGAATAAAAACAATATATTCCAATAAAGAATGTCCTTTTCTTTAGTACAGGACTAATCTTGTCGTATTGCCTTTAATCAAACTAGGAAAAAATAAAGCATCCAGAAGAGAGAACAAATCAAAGTAAGAAACTGTTTTTTTTTTTTTTTTTTTTTTTTTTTTTTTTTTTTTTTTTAAAGATGAACACAACTAATAAAAACAAGTGTTTATATATTAAAGGAAAAAAGGTTCAGAAATTTGATTTACCGAATACTGAAATCAAATGTAAAGGGACACGCATAATAGAATTTATCACCCAAATCATGTTTTATGTCTAAAATCTAAATGTCTAATAGTTCTAAACTCAAAAAACTCAAAAAAATTGGTATTTTAAATCAGTTTTCAGTTACATTTTTTTTCCATGTTACCAATTTAACTTTGATTAAGCAAGGTCACAACACATCTTTTCAGACTATGACACTTGATTGCATGAATGGCTGCACAACAAAGCAGCAGGCGTCTTAACACATTGGCAAAAGAACATGTGACGCCCCACATGCCCGTCACGCTATGACGATGGAATCAACAACGAAAATTAATTTTGTTGTGATGTTTGGCGCAAAGATAGATTTCACGTTTGAGTTTGGCGACGGAACTTGCGACGGTCGTTGTTTTCCATCGCGAGAATATTTAATTTTTTAAGTAGAATTTATAACTTTTTAATGGTCAAATTTTGCATTAGGTTTGCTATTACAAGTGGAAAATTTTCAAAATTTAATGTAAAATTGAAATTGCATATGAATTATTAAAAATTATTACTGTTATAAAATTTTATATATATAAATGAAATATAAGGTTTATTCATTTATAAAGTTATATTTAATAATTATGTTAATTTGTTAAGATAAAGTTATGAACATAAATATTTGAAATTAAATTACAATAAGAATTGATATTTTATGTGGGTAATTACTAAAATAATAAAATATATTAAATGATTAATACAAAGTATTTAAAATTAAAAATTTGGGACTTTTTTGGGCAAAATTTATAGAATATAATTATATAACTGAAATTTAATTTGATCTAGCAAAATAATTTTACTCGGGCAATGCATCTTGCATGGCATAGTATTTATTTCATAAATTAATTAAAATTTAACCATATTTAATATGATTAAGCACACATTATTACAATACAATTATTTTTACAAATCTAAATTAGATGTATAAAATAAAAAATCTTTATCCTATTTAAAAATAAATTCCATAAAATATTATATGTTAATGTCCAACTTATAAATTTTTAGAACAAAAATAATCCAGTCCATTATAATAACATTAACTATTCTGATATTAAAATCTAGCTCAAATCTAATCAGACCCAACTAGCCAAAACCCGACAACCCACCCGTGTGACGAAACTTGCGACGATAGTTCTTTCTGTTGTGAGATTATTTTATTCTTTAACTAAAGTTTATAATTTTTTAATTGTCAAATTTTGCATTAGGTTTAACATTAAATTCATATGCTATAACTAAATTGCATAACTCTTTCATCACTACTCCCTCCATCCCATTTTACATGCCTTACTTTCTTTTTAAGTTTGTCTCGAAATAATGTATTCTTTCCAAAATTGAACATAACTATTAGTCTATTATTTTACATTTTTCAAATTGCCCTTTTTACTTGTTCAAATTTTTAGACAATTAATGAGATAAGTACAATTGTATTTTGTACAAATGACACCTGCTTTTAAAGGGCATAATTGAAAAGTTGGAAAATTTTGTTTTTTACATTAAAAATCGTGCTAAAAGTAAATGTGACAAGGAATTAGGAACATATGGAGTATTTCAAAAAATCAGTAAACTTATTATAATAAACTAAATTCCATTGTTAACAAAAATTAAGTTAAGTTTTACTGTTTAATCAATATTAAATTATAAATTTAATTTTTTCTTATATAAATAATTGTTAGGATATCATTTTTATTATCGATTATAACTATCTACAACAATATTCATCTCTTATTAGACTAGAAGTTTAAAATACTCATTTTGATTATATAAAAAATATTCATTTTTATTTTATATTTAAAATTGTACTAAATATTTATCTATTTTACCTTTCGTGTTAGATTTAGTGTTGGACACACACACACACACACACACACACACACACACACACACACACACACAAACACACACACACACACACACACACACACAACTATACACTTATAACCACACTAACAGTAACTAAAATTTGTAAAAATCTTTACTCATTGACCGAACTGAAATAATTTATTTAAAAATTTATTAATTGAATTATTTGATTTAATCGTTTAACAAATTTTCACCGAATTTTACACATTTCTAAAGATAATAATTAATGTTTGTATAAATATCTAAGTATAATTTTTTTTATCATACAAAAATTTTAAAAATAATTAAATAATTAATTTTCTCAATTATTTTTGAAATATATTTACTATAATCATTAATTCAAAACCACATAGTTTTTATAAGTGTCACACACACATATGTATGTATGTATGTATATTTAATTTTAAAATTTAACCTTTTAACAATAAAAATAAATAAAATTTAAACCCAAAATTTTTAATTCTTAAAATCTATATTAAAATATACTCCGTATATAATATAATAATTTGTAATTTAAAATTCTAACCTTTAACAATTAAAAATTCCTAAATCCTAAATTTAACAAAAACTTAAATTTCAAAGTCCTAAATAATAATTCTAACCGAGTAACCCTTAAGAATGCAGTTCTTCCCCACGCCGCCTCTCCCTGTCTGTCGAAGCAGAAGCTAATGCCGCCATCTTCCGTCCTCTCTTGTCGCCTCCCCTGCCGACGCAAGCAGAGCCAGAACTAGAAGCTGGAGATACCACCGTCCTCCACTGCCGACGCAAGCAGAACCAGAACTAGAAGCCGGAGATGTCGCCGTCCTCCCTTGCTGACGCAAGTAGAACCTAAACTAGGTATTTTTTATCCAAATCTTTCCGAATTTTCTAATTTCATTATTAAAAAAAAATTTGTGGAAATTTAATGATATCTTGTAATCCCAAATTGTTACAGATCGTGTTAGCTGCATAGACGAAATAGGTAAGCATATTGCTGCTTTTCGATGATTCTCACTCATCTCCCTAAATTTGCATGTTAATTTGTTGTTGAATAATAACTTTGAACCCCTGATTTCATTGAAATTTCCTAAACAATGACTCAGTAAACATGCACTTCAGGTGTTTGTTCTTTTGCTTCTTATGATCGAATAGTGTAGAGGTCATTATTAAGGAAGAGAACTTTGCATGTTGCTTGTTGAGAAAAATAACATGTTAGTGTAATAGGAGATTGCATTTTCTGAGGTTTTGCACGTTTCATTTCCTTCTTCCATTCATGTTTTCTACCAAACGTAATTGTTGATGACTGCGTTCAGTGTTATTCTTTCCCTCTTTCTTTGGCTGCTGAGTAGAAAACATAAATCTTGAAGTGTAAAACAAAACATGAAGATTAGACTATCATCTTTTAACCAAATCAGTTTGGATAGGACCTTAGTATTATGCTGACAATTTAATATCGCAACACTTGTAAAATATAGACATTTCTTTTTGTAACAAGTAATACAATCAATGAGTATAAAACTCAACCAGTAGTTCCGTATAAATTAAACAAATATATATAATGCAAAATGCATGTAGTAAAATGTATTGCAATATTTAATGTAGTATTAGTGCTCAAACCAGCTAAGCTAGGTTAGCTAGCTAAACTAAATTATGTTAATACACAACTCAAACTACCAAATCTAATTGGAATGGATGAATAAAAATGTTGATCAAAATATATAATAGATGATTATTAGCATTATATTATATTGTTATTTTATGGTGAGTTGTAGTTTTTGAAGTAGCGTTGATTGGAGGATGGAGGAATCTAAGGCTTTTTTCAAGCCTTTTCCTTTTGTACTTTCTCATTTTGTGTTTTCATTCTGGTTTTTTTAATTTGTTTGTGTATATATTTGTCGTATCATGGTGCAGAGTGGAGATTAATCTCTCGCAGTGATGGACCATGTTTGTGAATATCCTCCTATTCTCCTTTGACCCCCGCATTTCACTATTTTGCAAGCTATCTCTCTCTCTCTCTCTCGCTATATATTTGGATCTTTCCTTCAAATCTTCCCCCGTTCGCACACTTTGCTATTTTTTCCTTAAAACATTCTTTTCTACCTCCCTGTACTTTGAACCAACCTCGAACACTCTTCAATCAAATCTCTCACTGCACCTTCTTTCCTAAATCTATCCGTTCTGTTCTCTTTTCATGCACATGAAATCTGTGTTTCCCATATTTGTGT